TTTTGTTGGTATTTAAATTTATAGTAGATATATTTAGTTTGTTTTAGATTTATTGCTAGTAAGATATAAATATATATTGAATTAATGGCATAAAAGTAGACACTAGATCGGAAAAAAAATATACGCGAAATCGGCGGTTTAAAACCGGACCAAACCGTTAGGTTTATGTTTGAGTTTTTTTCAAACCGGTCAAAACGGTTAGGTTTAGGTTTGAGTTTTTCTCAAACCGGTCAAAACGATTTGGTTTGAAAATTTGTCAAAAATCGTAAAAATCGGACCGCTTACACCCCTAGGTTTATCCTTGACAGTAGGTGCTAATTCCAGACGTGGGAACTTATTATATATATAATGACTTAGCCACTGTTTGGTTCAGTTTTTGGCAAACTTAAGTTTTGATCACACAGTTTTATTGAAGCTATGAATTTTATTCATTTTTTAATCAACATGGAGCCAAGTGAAGGCCAATGAGTTCCTATGCCTCAACTGAAACGTGAGAAAAAAATTTATTTGTAATTTTTGTTGACCTCAAAAAATGTATCAATGATGTGGTCAACAGATTTCAAGACCTCTCATGTCAAAAAGTTGGATTCCTACATACTTGGACGAACTGTTAGTCACACGTGGTCTTCCCTTGAGGGGATGGAGTTGGCCACACGCACTCCGCAGTCAAGTCGATTAATGAGATAGTTTAGAGTGTAATGAGATAGTTTAGAGTGTGAGGGAGCTTTGAACATGGGCCTCCAATGAATAAAAGGGGGTCGGCTTGGAAGAAAATATATAGTGCTTGTTTGGTAAGAATTTTTGGAGGAAGAATTGATTTTTGAATAGTGATATGATGAGAAATGTGTGGTTGAAAAAGAAGAAAAAATTATTGATGTGATGAAAAATATTATTTTATTGAATAATGTGTGGTTGAAAATGAGAATTGATTTCAGAATCAATTCTCAAATAAAAAACAAACACCCCCATAAGGATATATCTTTGAGATTCTAAACTCGAATTACTTTCGAACGGTACTAAGTGTGAGCTTTTATAATTGGATGAAATGAATGGAATTCGTTGGAGGGTAGGACACGTGGCCTCATCTGAACGACTTCCCTTTCTTGTCAAATACATTAATCAATCGTTGCCTTAAATGCTATCACCCTTTTTGTATTCATAAAGCCTAGCTTGTACTCTTAGACTTGACGAAGCAGGATTGTGGCGACAACAGTGGTAGTGGCAGTGAGTTGTCTTGTCAACTCATGTCGTGTGGGATCGATTCGAGATCTTGTCATTGTCTCATCTTGGCCGGTTCTGTCAATGGGGTCCGCCTGTAAAGAGGTCTGTCTAGGAATTTTACGTGGGAGAGTCGGGTCACTCGCACTTGGATCGGTTCGCTCGTACTCATCTGGGCTGCTTTATGCTAGCTATGAGGCACTAGCCCCAATCTGTTTGTCATGTAGGCTAATTGGGCCCCTTCATGGATCCTAGCTTTTCATGGCATAACAATTTCTATATCTGTAATATTATTATGGCCATGTTTGGTCCACATTATTTTTTTCATTTTCATTTTTCTACTCATTTTCAACCACACATTTTTCAATAAAATAATATTTTTCATCACATCAATAATTTTTCTTTCTTTATCAACCACATACCTCCACATTCTTACAAAAATTCCTTTTTTAAAAAAAAATTTATTTTCAACCACATATTTTTCAATAAAATAATATTACATGTAAATTCAAAAATTTTCCTTATTTTTTAACCACACATTTTCTATCAAATCACTATTTAAAATTCATTCTCTACTCAATAATGTGTATCAAATATGTCTGATTATTATGTGCAGTTCAATTCTAATAAAAATAAAATTGAATCGAACATAATAAAAGTTTTATACATGATTTATTGGACAATAATATAGTGAAAAACACGGCACACAAACTTGTTTTCTCACAACTAAGGATGAAAAACATTAAATAATAAATGAAAATATATCATCTCATGTATGAGGAGGAATAATAATAATAATAATAATAATAATAATAATAATAAAAATAAATAATCTTGAAAATCTTGAGAATTGTTTCAAAATTTGAAACTTTTTTTGCTATTTTTAGTAACTGGATTGGTAGAAATTGAACAAATGACATGTTTATCTATAACTAAGGCTCTGTTTGGTCCATATTATTTTTTTCATTTTCATTCTTCTACTCATTTTCGACCACACATTCTTCAATAAAATAATATTTCATCACATCAATAACTTTTCCTTCTTTTTCAACCACATATTCTCTATCATATCAACAGTAAAAATGTATTATTTCCTTCAAAATGTGCACCAAACGGAATATTTTAAAATTTTTTGTAGTTAAATTAGGCTCCGGTTGAATTCGAGCATTACTTTATCACTTTTTGACTTCACAATTTATAAGATTCACAACTTATAATCTCAAAAAAATTTGGACCAAACATGGCTTAATAATAATCTATTTAGGGTACTAAAGTTTTGAGTGAGACAACTTGTTTAACCTAGGTTTGGTGGTATTTTTTGAAAAAATATTGTTTTGAATAGTGAATTTTTGAAGAATGCATGATTAAAAAGTAAGAAAAATTTGAGTTTACATGTAAAATGTTTTAGCTGTAACTATATGATTAAAAATGAATATATATAATTTTTTTTTAAAAGAATGAAAGACAAACGGGGCTTAATAAACTTCGTTTCTCATTAACATATTACGAGGAAATAGCTCATCAAATTTGGATCCACCGACGTTACAAGGCTTTGTCGATATTTAATAGAATTAATCTCTATGCCTCTCACATAGTCACATGAGGTGGGTCCCACGCGGGTCTCACCTCAAAAAAAAAAAAGAAAAGAAAATTACCGACCCCTACGTGGGTTGTGTGAATCCCACCTGTACATACAACTTCTCTCTATATATAAAAAAACAGTGGAGTGGTGTCGTGAACGAACAGAGTACAGAGCCATTTTAAGCACAACTTATGACTTGTTAGATATTATTCTCTCTCAAAATTAAAATCCCAGATTTTTTTTTCATTCTGATTCTGAAAAAGAGCTTCCTGATCACATCACTCACTTCTTTTCTACCAGCGTAATTTTAGGGTTTTCTTTTGGGCATCCCAAGAACCCGTCTAATCAAGCTTAAAATCCAGTTTCGATTTGTTTTCTCATCTGGGCTTTCTACAATTCATAAGTAAAGTTAACTATAGGGTGTTCTAAATCCATTTTCCTTTGAATAAATGTGATTTTTGTTGTTATTGACAAGTGGGATTTGAAGAAAAGGAAGCATTTTTCTGCTTATGATGTATCGTAATATTAAAAACAGCATTCCTGGGCAAGAAACAACAGCAACAATTCGAAATGGTAATAGTGGTAATAACTGTTGCACAAAAGCTACAGCTGAGTTAAAACTCTACCAAGCTTTCATATTTTCAGTGCCAATTTTCTTTACATTCATTCTCCTTCTCCTGTTTTACTTGTTCTATCTTCGCCGGGGAAGGGTTGACTGGACTTCTTTGAGAATGAGGACAAGTAATTCATTGCCATCTTTTCATAGTACTTCTGAAATCTCCAGGGTGAGCTACATGAAGATCCTTTACTTATTGATATTTATATTTACATTGAGGATGAAAATCCAATATGAATCTTCTTTTCCATTTTTTTAATTACCATAATTAGAAGCTTTTTTAGATATATTTCGCCGATCAATATAGAATTTGTTTGTATGTATGATTGGTTTTGATTGTTGGCAGTGTGAAATGGGGTTGAAGAAGGAGGTGAGAGAGATGCTACCAATTATTGTATTCAAGGAGAGCTTTTCTGTCAAAGAGACACAGTGAGTTATCTTCCTTGCAGTTTTATTGTTAGATTTTGTTAAGGACACGTCAAATAAAGATGAAACGAATTTATAAAAGTTTGGGCTACTCCTCCGAATAAGGTTAAACTTTTTAAGATTGAACCCCAATTCTCAACAGAGTTATTTTCTTTTGATGCGTTTAACGTTATGTATTCTTTTCTTTTTGGTCATAAATCTCCGTCTTAAAATTGCCTGTAGCTCGTAAAAAAATGAAAGCCTGTAGCTTCAAATGGATATCTGAGTTTCCAAGACCTGAGGATATGATCGGTGATGTAATGTTTTACAGTTTTATTTTCGCTTAGCAATCATTTTTCCGACTTAATATGGGGTGAAAAACTACGAATGAAAGATTATCGTTTCCTATAAGTTGATTTTAGCCCCAATATTAATAGTCCATAGTCTCTCATTTTCTATTTTACACAAATGAACTCTAGAAATAAATCCCCCTTTTATGAATTGCCACGAGTTCTATAAAATGAAGTGCAATGGTATGCATAGTTGAGTTGTGTGCTTTAAGACATTTCATGTTCACCAGTTGCACCTTTTCTAAATTTTCCATTTCTATACCATTTTTTAAATCAAGATACCATGAACTGTGTGACTCTACGTTAACGTTCCCTAATTGATGGGGCTTGTGGTATGTATACCTTTAATGGGTATCTGCACTATTGTACCTGCCCCAGAGTCGTCAGGCATACAATAGAAACTAGGTTCCTTTACTTAGATCGATAAACATGCAGTTGTGTTGCCAAATCTGACTTATCACAAGTAACCACTGAATTTTTTTTTTTTTGATAACCGTGGATGTCCGGCCAGCTTGCGCTCCCCTCGACTAATTCCATGTCCATGGAGCCCTGAAGTATAATCACAGAAAAATAACGAGGAAGCTAAGGTGAATAGTAGTGGACATAAAACATGCTTCATTTATTTCTTCAACGTGTGAGGAGTTTTTACTTACGTGCAGTCTAGGAAAATAATGTGGAAGCTAAGGCCAGTTGTAGGCATTGATATCTTGATGAGGAAGATATACGGATTACATTGATATTAGCTAAAATCATTTTATCTGTGACAAACCACCTCAAAGGACAGTTCTATATGCTAGTGCATTTAATGCGGTATCTATGATAAGAAGACAGCACTTCTAGGTGAAATTTTGACGTTCAACATGGAGATTCAAGGTGAAACTTCTAGAAAGAGGAAGGCCAAAACACTCACATTCAAATGTTGAGTTCAGAAAAAAAAAAAAAACGTGGTTTCTGAATGTGAACTGGATGTTGCCCCTTTCGCTTGATAATACTGAAAGGGCAACCTGGTAACTGATCAAAGCGGCCTTCACCTTTTGCCAGTTTTAAGGGACTGGGGAATAGTGTATGCAGTGCAACTACTGGCTACTGAATTTTACGTTCATTTACTTGTAGGTCATTGTCCAGTAACTAAAAAGCTTTGTTTTGTCAAATGGTTTTTCTCCCTGGGTTCTATTTGAAATATTCGAATTTCCAAAAACTTGTCTGGGGACTACTGATTTTGTACATATTCAGCTTATCTTTTGCAAATATGCTATTAGTTTGAAACACACACAAATACTGTAAATTCGCATCTTTAATATGATACAGAACTTTCTGGGCTGATTGAACTTTTGATCAGCGGATGACAGTTATGATTTTTGCAAATCTTAGAATCCATAGTTGCAGGAGAGATGATGGAGTGAACTCTTTGTGATACTCAGCTGGTGCAGCAGGTCATTAATTGATCTAGGTTTTGGTTTACAATGATTTCAGGGTAAAATTTTTTGAAGTTTTGGTGCTTAATCAAGAAAACGACTAGTTTCAGAAAAAAAGATCAATAGACATGACTCCTGCAAAACTTGCCTATAGTGACACGACAACTATTACAAGAGCAAGACCAGACTTAACCCAATAAATATTAGGGTCGGCTACATAAATCCTTTTTTTTTTTTCTCTTCAATTGATCCAGTGTTGCATCTATTAAAATGTCCATTGAATTTGGAATGGGGATAAACCTAAACCGATCCTGTCCAGATCTACGTTTATGCAATAAAAAGATTATTTTCTTTTCCCGTTCTTTTGAGAGGATGAAACGAGCTTAGGACAGTGCTGTGTTGCATGAAGGATATAAGCGGAGAAGTTTGGATAAGATACTATACGTGCATCGTTCTCAAAAGTGAGTAAAAGCAATTTGGAAATATATTAATGCGCATGTTTCTTGAGTAACAGCCGCTGCTTAGTTGGGGATCTTTTTCTCATTTTTGTAAAGGAAAGGTTATTGTTTTTTCCTTTCTTTGGAGAATATAGCTTAAAACAGCCATACATCCCAGCCTAAAGGATGTAAGGGAAGAGTTCTAATGAGATATCTAATTTGGAAGATGATGTAGAGTATGATCACCACTTTGTCCAAAAGCTAACCCAGAATCAAGCTCGAGAATTCATTCCAAACCTAGTCCGTCAGGCTCGCTCTCATTTTCGAGCATGCTTCTGCATTATCCACCCTCTCAATAAGAATTTTCTAGCATCAACTCAAACATGGGACCTCCAACTCTGATACCAAGTGCTGGAGGGTATTGCCACCACTTTGTCTAGAAGATATAGCTCATGACATCACTACAGTCGACGAATCTAAAATAGATTTGAGTTTGTCTAAAATTTGCTTCGATAATTTTGTATTCTTTGGAATCGACTAATCTATGGACAGTATTTGTATGCAAATCAAGGAGTCTTGTTTGTCAATTTTTGGTATTCTACGAAGTTGTAACAGGGGGATGAATTTTGTCTTACTGAAAGAAAACTTTACTAGATTAAGCCATCATGAAATCACATAATATGGCCATAAAGCACTCCAATTTTTTCTTACATGAAAGTCAATTGAATTATTTATTTATTTTATTTTATTTTTTCCTGTTATGGGGGGTGGGGGGTGTCAAAGGATTTCAACCTTCCCCGGTAATTGAATTTAAAAACATATCAACCACTACTCTTGAGAGTAGCTACCTTCAATTAAGTTTCCATTTCTTGACATACTTTGAGTCTACGACAAATGAAGGAGGTGATTTCTGACCTCTGTTTATCATGCGAAGCAAATCGCCATGATTTTTGTGGTTAAAAATTGCGTTCAATACAATAGAAATTTTGCATTTATTTTTCTTTCAGGTGCGATTGTAAAAGTTTGATTCTTAGTTGCATAGCTGCAGCAATGTGTGTGGAATTGGTTTATCATGATGCTATGAGAACTCGGAATTTAAATCAATTTAGTCAGCAGTGAAGTTACTCATTACTATCTTGTCCCTTCTATTACAGTTTACAATCACAATGTCGTGAAATGCTAGTACATTTGATTTGTTTCTAACAATTCCATGCATGAGTAAGGAAATAGCGTAAATTGGACTATCTCGAACCGCTATACAGCATACAGTTTATCTGGTGGGATTTTCTTTTCGTTGGAACTGTTATGTACTTTTTATGCAGACTCATTTATTTTCGCAAATATGTCATAAAAAAGCGAATGTTAAGTTCATGAATTTTGTTAGGTCAATGGAGCTAATTCCTTGTCGCTTTTGTTTTTTTGTTCTACTGAGACTGAATTCAGAGAACCATCTGAACATGTATGAGAAGCCAAATTTTTCGTAGTTTAGAAGGATTGATTGATTTTGAGACTTTTGTCTTAAAACTAGCCAACTATAGGCTCTTAGTTTCTTTCCTAAAATCCTATATAATTAAAAGGATTTCCTTTTTTCTCATGGCAGATGTTCAGTGTGCCTAGCGGATTACCAATCAGAGGACAAACTTCAACAGATACCAGCCTGTGGGCACACATTTCATATGGATTGCATCGATCTCTGGCTAGCCACTCACACTACATGCCCCCTCTGCCGCCAATCCCTCCTCGCTTCCGCTAAAGCTACAAATGGAGAAGATGGAGAAGATATCCACGTAGAAACCAATAACAGATCTGAAACATCACTTCCAATTATTTCCCAGTCTATTGAAGATGACCCTCAAACTAGCCAGCAACCGTTGGAGTCGACCAACAAAGGAGACGAGAAGGAATCGGCACAACCTGCTGTTGCACGTGAAGAAGGGGATAGAGTTTCTTGATTTTCAGTGATGTGGAATCAAGAATGGAACTAGAGAGAGAGTAAATGTAATGCAATCTGTCTGTATTAGATCTCAGGGACTAGAATGAAGGACCATATGTAATGAGCAATGCTACTATTCATTCTTAGTGATGATTATCACCAGATTGTTCAAGGCGATGATTATCACTAATGATGAATAGCATTGTTCGAATGTAATTTAACCGTGAAGGGACTCTTGCTATTCATCTTTTTTGTTAAGTGTACTTTCCAATTGAATATTACGTGAAAAGATGACGATTATGCCGAACAATTGTAGAGAGACAAATGAGTGGAATAGTTAAAATGGCATGATGAAATGTGCAAGAATTTTACTTTGGTTTGGCTATTTGTCAAGAGGAATGCTTCCTCTGGTGATTGTCACATGTGATGCACGATAAGACCAATAAAGAATGTCTCGTATTTATATATACATTAAAATTGACTTTTTCATTATATGTCACTTATCACGTAGATAAATGATAATCCTCTATTGGAATAAATAGCATTAGCATTTGGCAATGACAGTGTGAGTAGTGCAATTGAGTATTTCACTTAGATTTTATTTTTTCTTTATATTTCATTTTTAACTGTATAATTCCAATACCTCTTTTTGTTGGTGATTAAAATTAGATTTTTTGGTAAATTTTGATAAAAATTAATAAAATGTGTGGTTGAAAAGCTATGAATTCCATAAAATAAGTTATTAAAATTAATTGTTGACTTTGATTTAGATTATTTTGTAAGCCACATAATCATTTTTATTAATTAATTATTAAAATAGACGGAGTGTTTAAATTAAAATAAGTTGAAATATCAATTTTTAAGAACGTAATCTCTATTTCTCAACGTGTAATCACACCATAATTTTTTTATTCATTACACTACATTTTAATGGTACCTAATTGAATTAACTTTCGCTCATCATAACGCTTATATTCCTAATTTTTCTTCGTCGTATTTTTATCTTTAATCTTATAATAAGAAGCACATTTCGTCCTTGGAGAAGGTTTCTGTCGGAATATTATGCTTGCGTGTTTTCAAGGGAAAAATATTTTTTCACTTTTTATTATTTATTATTTTTCAAAAATATGATGGATAAATAAGTCGTTTTACGCTTTTTAAACGGGATTTTTAGATGGGATGTTATCGGAGTTAAGATGTGTTAATTAATGAAAGATTAGGGATAAAAATGAGTCGAAAAAAATAATGAGCATAGAGTGATACATCGAGTAAATAATTATGGCATTAGCTACAATTAAAATTGTGGCTGAACTAATAAAAAATGTGGTGGGGAATATAATTACCGTTTCCCAACTGCATTTTTTTTACTTTTTGACGTCTATTTTAGGTTAATTGTGTTGGAGGTCACTAAAGTTTCACTTTACCCGCAAATATATCATTGGACTTCAATTGCCGGTAACCGAGTCACCAAATTTTGATTTAACAACAATTAGGTCACTATTAACGGACCGTTAGGATACACAAGTTGATGATGTGGACATCAAAGCTAATGGTAGATGAAGTTGATTTCAACGATGACTATTCAAATACTTTTCACCTCCACGTCAAACCAAATTGGGTTTGTGTTTCACGTCCATATTAATTGAAGAGAGGTTGCTGAAAGTTAAAATTACATGTATAAAGCATGGATATAAAATTACAATTAATGTGGACAAGGCATTTGTGTTTTGTAAAAAGAATTGACAGATGTAGTGACAGATGAAGTGATAGTAGAAGATGACTGGAAGAAAGAGTCGACTGTATTTTAAACAGTAAAATGATATAATGTTATGTGACATTATGTCAATTTTTCTGACATTATAGCATGATTCGATTACGACTATGTTTATTTCAGTGATATTCTTCAAGTCCTTGGTTTGAATATAGTTCATATTCGTCAATTCAATTGATCAAACAATTGGATGCTTGTACTTTTGGGAACCTTAAAAAAATTTCCCATTTCTTCCATGGTGAAAGAATGATTTATATATTTGAGATATGGTGCTTTGGTTTTTTAATTAATTTAGTGATGAAGTGAAAATTAAATTCACGTGGCAGTCCACGTCATCCACCACTCGGAGTTAACGTCAAAGCCATCAACTGCTGTTAAAATTATATTAAGTGTACATTTCATTATATACAGCTTTGTTGACATTGTATGAGAATTCAAAAAGTGTTTGGTAGAGAAAGTGTTTATTTTTTAAAAATTGTCAAATTATGTGTCGACACGTGACACAATATAAAAAATAATATCAAACAGGATATACATCTAACATGATTGCTTTTGTTATATATTCTAAGAGCATCTTCTGACTCTATTTTTAGATAGTAAATTATACAATTTAGAGATATCCATAAATTTGGAGGGTGAAAACTTTTAAGTACTCTAACATACTCTTTATATTTAACAGTTAAATTTACTATTTCAAAAAATTATTTATCGTTTTTCTCTATCTTTTATTTTCACTAACTTTTCTCTAAATTATTATATTATTATCTTTCATTGAAAATTGAAATACTTTGAATGTATTTAATTATAAAGAATAAATTTGGCTACTATCTAAATTAGAACATCTCAAAAATACTCTTTAAATATAAAATACTTTCTATTTTAAAGAGTCTAATCCTTAAAATTATACTCTAAAATACTATTTAAATTAATATTTTAATTTAGAATCGTAGAGTCAAACCCACTCTTTATAGTTTGATACATTCAAAATATTTCAATTTTCAATGAAAGAAAATAATATAATAATTTAAAGGAAAATTAGTTAAAATAAAATATATGAAAAATAATAAATATTTTTTAGGAGTAGTAAAATTAAGTATTAAATATAAAGAATTTGTTGGAGTACTTAAAAACTTTTACTATCTAAATTTATAAATGTTATCTAAATTATAGAATATGCTCTCGAAAAATAGTGAGCATCTTGGAAATGCTATTAAAATGTTAATTTAAAGACTATTGAACCATAATTTTAAGGGTGACTCTTTAAAGTAAAGAACATTTTATGTTTAAAGAGTTTGTTAAAGATGTTGTAATGTCCTACTATGATGGCAAAATGACTCTTCGGCTTGTGGCTTGAAACCACTGAGCTGAGGCTCGAGCGAGCCCGTGTGGCTCGTTGAGCCACACGGGCCATTTTCGGCCCGAACAAGCCGAGTCCGTAAAAAAATAAAATTTAATTTTGAAAACAGAAGGAAAAAAAATAAAAATAAAAATAAAAATTATCATCATGCAATAGGAGGCAGTTGTAGCCTGCGTAGCTGCCTGAAACGCACGCAGTTTGACAACTGAAATAATAATAATTAAAAAATTCGAGCCGGCTCGACCTGCTAAGGTTCGAGCTGAAAACTTGGGTCGAACCTTAATTTTTTGGTCGAGCTTTTGTTTGACTCAGCTTAGGCAAATAAAAAAGCTCGGATCTTTTTTGCTTGAGTCAAGTCCGAGCTTGAGCTTCTAGTTTCGCTTCGTTGACACGGCTACGTCCCGCCGACAAAGTGACCTAATTGCTGTTAAATCAAAGTTCGGTGACCCAATAGCCGGCAATTAAAGTTCAGTAATCTACTTGCAGGTAGGATAAAAGCTCAGTGACCTTGGTTACAATTAATCCGTTTTGCTTACCCCTAAAATTCGTCCTTGACCTCAGTAAAGAATACCGACCTACGCCGAATCAGCGTGTCGTTTCAGGGGCTAATCGGAGAGTAATTGAGCGAACATGAAGTCTCACTCAGCATGGGGTACATCCAAGAACCTCGTCAAGTTTAGAATGTAAGTGAATATATTTAATTAGTAGAATCAGTAGTAATTGGACTGTTTATGTTTTGTTTTGTTTTATAATGATTTTCGGAGTTGTAATTCCTATGTACGGCAGTCCGACTTCGGACAACCTAGTTCCTATACGTCTGGATATTGAAATCGACGGCCAGAGATTTAGAGATGCATTCACCTGGAACCCTTCTGGTAGCTACTCATGCTATACTTTATAGAACCGTATATTGTGCATTTTTATTGATTTATTATTTTTTGTGTCGTTCCTTTATGCTTAGTCACGAGCCTGGGTGCCAAACGTTTTTCTGTCAAAAACTTAAAAGAAACAGATAAATTGACATATCAGCTGTGAAGAGAATGTGTAGCAGTGGTAAAGATTCAGCACTCCGAGAAATAACTACGATCATCAGGAAATAGAGTGGTTAATTGTACTTAATTCCCGTTTGGTATCGGACTGAATCATTTTTTTCCATTGTATGCCTAGTTTTACTAGGTTCGAGGTAGGATCTAAGCATCAATGGGCTGAAAGTTCTAATTCCCACCAGAACTAGGGACGTGATTCATAAACAAATTGATAGTATAGTAATATCAACCTTAATTTAGATCATAGAGTGGAGAGTATTATTCCCTTTTGTTCTTTTCACTTTGGTCTCCATCCCCCAACTACACCCTAAGACCAACTAGTGGGGTTTATGCCTTAACTCTAGTTGATTTTATGGTATATGCGAGAGGGGATGTTCAAACCACCAAAATAGTTTACTCGTAACTGATATTACATTTTCGTCACATGAACTATATAAGTACTGGATGATCTGTACTCGTAATTTATTCACATACTATCTTTCATTACTTGCGCATTTTGCAAAACCATGAGCTAATGTTTATGTTTTTGTTACTGTAGATCCTGATTCTGAAGTTGTGGTATTTGCGAAAAGAACAGTGAAAGACTTGAAGCTTCCTCCTGCTTTTGTCACACAGATTGCTCAATCTATCCAAGTATAATATAACAATCCATTCTTTAAGTTGCTTTTTGGTCATTATACTGTCGCACCATATTTTCTTTTATGCTCCATATTTCAGTAAAAATTGGGTATAGAAAGGCCCTGTTTTATGTGGGATAAGTTTGGAAACATCACGTATGCTCATCTCACAAAAATATCTCTATCGAATTAAGTCCAAAAGTCTCATGGTACAATTTATGATTCTTGATATTCAAATCACACTTATTGCAGACACAGCTAACAGAATTTCGGTCATATGAAGGGCAGGATATGTACACTGGAGAGAGAGTTGTCCCCATCAAGGTTTTGACAAGACTAACTTGTGATTCCAATTTCCCAGCCCTTGAGACTAAAATGTGTTACTTTATTGTATTTATTTGGAACAATTCCGAATTTTCTTTTGTCTGGTCAATTGACTAAAAGTAGTGGTGGTGATTTTGTGTTCTTCTCTTTATGTCTTGTGAACCAGCTAGACCTTCGAGTTAACCATACTATCATCAAGGACCATTTTTTGTGGGTAAGTATAACCACATGCTTTTATTTATTTCTTGAACAACCCCATGAGAATGTTGTAGATCTTGAGAAAAAAGTAGTCGTTTTGATCCGTGCTGCTTTAGTAATTTGACAAGAATATAAAATGAATTTCAGGAGTTGAACAACTTTGAAAGCGACCCTGAAGAATTTGCTAGAATTTTTTGCAAAGATATGGGCATTGAAGACCCAGAAGTTGGAGTAAGTGCATGCAATGTTTTCGCACTTTCAATATTTGGTATGCCAAGAAAAATCGGTAAAACTGAAAATAATTGCTGTCAGGAAAAAAAGTGATTCTAACTGGACATGTTTTGTTCTTTTGGTTTTTATAACTTACACCATCTTATATGAGAGATACATACACCACCGACAATCACAAAGCACTACTTACCATCGATAATCACCAGTTCAAACGACCAGTTAGTGAGCACTTGTAATAACGACCTAAAACTTACTCTTTAAATACGTATCGTAAAAATAATACTTTCATAAAAAATAATTATCCCCAAAGTTACAATAATTAAAATGAACACACTTTCTTAATCATAAAATCTATTGCTAAAAAATATTCATAAATTATATCCTCTTTATTATACCACCAGTGACTAGTTCCAAGCTCCAATGCCTCGAACCTCAATTACCTAAGAGAGGGAAAATCATAAATAAAGAGATAAAATTTCAATAAGTGAATCACATAAATCGTAATTTATATTTAAAATTTAGGAATTCTTAATGTACATAAAGAGATACGGGGATTAGAAACCGAACTTAGGTGGCCATAATCTCTATACATAAAATCATAACATAAGGAGACACGGGAATTGAGAACAATACTCCATTGCTATAATTCTCGTGCGTAGCTCTACTGAACTCCGGTCCTTTGAACTTATATAGGACCCATATCATATTCATAACTTAGAATTCTGTATTTTAAAATATGAAAAACGATTCAACATACAAAGTGTGACTACACTTACCTCATAAATTTGAAGAGAATTTCATAAAACATGTACGGAAAAAACTTGATACAACGTGTGACTACACTTACCTCATAAATTTGAAGAGGATTTCATAAAACATGTATGGAAAAAACTTGACGTCAAACAATTGTTTATGAATTTTGTGTGTAGTGTAGGACAATCATAATTATACACAAACACATATATAGATGTACGTAATTATGGTAATCATATAATTTAAATCAATCAACCATAATTACATCTAATTATACATAGACGCACATAATTATAGTAATATTATAATTTAACTCAGATCGATTATAAATATATATAGTTATACATATATACACATAATTATAGAATACTATAATTAAACTTAATCAATTGTAATTATATATATTATATATTCATATAATACAATTATATGGTAGTTTACTTATTTAGGAAGGAATCTTCTTAACTTGTTTTTCATATACAATGAAGTTTATTTAATTTCATCCAATTTTTCCACATATATATACACACTAATACTATATTCACATCATATACATAGTTCAAATATTGTACTTGTAGTCCCTCAACTATTGGTTGATATGCAATTTTATTCCCTAACTTTCATCGTCTTGCACTAAGGTCCCAATTTTCATAATTAGCGACTATAAAATATTTTGGTGTATTATACCTGATGACTGCCATATGGTTGCTGGAGACCACCTGATGATAATCAATGACCATCAAGCAATTGACGGTGACCATCAGTTGGTTGCCAATCTGTGTACTGGTCCAGACAACCTCGGGTGTGTTGCTAAGAACCACCAGGTTGTCGTTGCAGACCACTTATCTCTGATGATTTCAAGACTCATTAGTGACAACTAGTCATCCATCAACGTCCACATGCTAGTGGTTAGCGATTACGGATACAAGGTTTGTCAGACATAGAATAATGTCCTCTAACAACAATGATTTTCAAATGAAAAATGTTTATTGAGCGTGAACAAATGAAGCCTTTGTAGTTCGTAAATTGCAGTATTTTTTGGTGATCAGTATGCATTCATGAACATGGCAAGGCTGCCTGTCTTGTCTAGGATATTCGTGTGGTTTTCCTTTTTAATTACTTTTTCTATACTTATAATTTGTACATGAATCCATGGTTTAAAAATGCCGTAGTGAGGTCTGCCTTGAGGCCCATCTCACTATGAGGCTTATGTATTATGCCTTGAGGCAGTATTTTTTAGGCTAAAAATATAAGGCACATGCCTCTAAATTTGAGGCGCATGCCTTATTTAAAATTTGATTTTTCAATTGTATGAAAAGAAATTAGAAATGACCCTTCTTAAAAAAGAAAAAGGGCCTATTTAAAAATGTATTTTGGGCCCAAACAAAACAATAAAATACCTATAAAACTAAACGACGGCCAGAAATTAGAGGACCAAAAAGGAGCAGATTCAACAGAAATTCAAAAGTTATAATTAACACACACGATTTCATCCAATCACTTGTACGAACTCTAAAACTCATTTATCCAGACTTCTTAATCTGCAATATCTCTTCCATTTCCCCACATCATTGTCAAATCTTCATGCATATACCCAGATTTATGCTGTTCCACCATAGCCAGCTTTCTTCTAGTTTTTTTTGTATTATTTTATAATTCTTTTATTTAGATTTTTTTGTTTTTTGTGAGGCTTACGCCTCAATCCGCTTCAAGGCTTATGCCTCGCCTCATAAAGAAAAACCGCCTCAGTACTTAGTTCCGCCTTTTTAAACTTTGCATGAATCTGAACTTTTATAGGCTATCTTGTGTAGACTGTCAGGTTCAAATTGAACTGGGCTCAAATTCCCCCCATACGCCAGTGTAGTCTTTGGGTAGCATGGCACCTTGAAACTATAATTTTAAATACTATAAAAACATATCCATTTGACCTGCAGGGTGTCCGTACCTTGCTTTGCCATTACAGATTTACTCTGAAATTATTTTTATACCTAAATCACCACCTAAAGGCTTACAGACACTTACCTGTTGATTCTTCCTAATGTGTGCTTCAGCAGAGATGCAGACCACAAAAAATGTCTGAATACAGCTTCAATGTCATGAATTACTTCTTCTGGCAAAAGTAATATTAATAAATCGGACACAATATTCTAATTGTAGCTGCCCTCATCGGTTAGTTTTTATTTGCTTAGCTCCAAGTTACTTCTGACAATTATAGCCTCCCTGCATAGGATAATTTTTGTTTGCTTAGTTCCAAGTTCTTCAGACAATTATAGCCTTCCTGCATAGGATGGTTTTTATTTGCTTAGCTCCAAGTCCACCAACTGCAATCATTTCTTCTTACCTAGTTGATATGAGGTTACTCATGAAGCACGGACATTCCTTCTAGGGTTGATTATTAATGTCTAACAGCATTAATGTCCAACACATATCAAACGGTCATGCCTTGGACATTCCGGAACACTCTGACATGTGGATGTCGTATTCTATACACGTGTTTATTTAATTTTCTGACAGATGAGGAACAGAATCTTTAGTGTGTTCAGGCAACTAGTAGTCTGTCTCTCTGTGTGGGGGGTGGGGAGGGATGCATGCATGCATGTAGTTGCTTTTGTGGTGCTGTTCTTGTTGTCCCCTGTTACATCATGTATGATGTCTCCAATTTCTGTGTACTGATTTGTGTTGCATTGGGCAGTACTATTGTGTTTCTGATGTCTTTTGAAAAAAAATAATTAATATTTTTGTATGAAGTGTCTTACTTCCAGTAACATATTCTCTTTGACATGTATTGTCATTGTTAATTTTACCTGCACTTCTGCTACGGTAAGTATCTGCTTCATGAAAACTGATTGCCTATTTGATTTGCAGCCTGCCATTGCTATCGCAATCAGGGAGCAACTTTATGAGGTTAGAAGTCAATTCTATATTCGTAATAGTTTTTGTTGGTCTAATTGCCCTATTATTTTACCCATTTGCAACCCCAATCATCTCCATTTACAACTTTTGTCTTCTAATAATTAGATTGCTGTACAAAGTGTGACTTCTGCCAAGGAAAGCAGAATAAGCAAGAAAGGGCGAAGAGCTGGTGAATTTTTCTCTGCCAGGTATTTTAATATTGGTTTCAAGCTACTCTGCAATTTTTTTCACCTTGGAAACAAAAAGAGCAAGCATCCTTGGAACAGATAAATTACTGTCACGTTATACTGATAAATGATACCTCTCCCCTCATCACTGTCAGCAAGACAGGTGGAAATGCTGTGGACTTGGTCAAGCTGTTTGGTAACAAATCGAGTGTCATTCGGTACGTTAGTTTTCTATTGTTTATCCTAGATAGGAAGCTAGAAAAGTATTTGATGCTCGAAAAAGGCTAATATGCTGGAGTAAAATGATAAATGTGTCCTTGGCTTTTCAAGGGATTCATTATTCTGTTATTTTTTAACCGAAGTGAGTGAATCAATTGGTTTGTGCTTCCCAAAAAGGCAAAAAAACCATTGGACAAATCTTGTAGTGCATATTGTTTCAATTTTTATTTTAATGAATTATTTTTATGCTTCAAGTTCTTCGTGAACACTACCATTTATTTATTCATCTTTTTCCGCGTAGTGTAGTTACACTTTATTTCCTTGCAGGAAGAGAAAGGAGTGGGATGCATACGAACCCCTTGTCGATCTCCTATCAAATGAGGAGGTGGATGCTCTCAAGGCAAGGGAAGAAAGGAATATTCGATGACAAAGTCATGATCACTTGGGAGTTTGACTTCGACCCCTACCTATCTTGTATATATTTATTTCCAGGCAGCTTCACTAGAGCATTCTGAGTCAGAAAATATATCTTGGTTTTAACCCGAATATAGTTTGTTAATCTATTAATTCTTGTCTTGCCCAAATGGATTTCAATACAGAATTTCCTTTCTGAATAGCCAGGGTCTCTATACAATGAATTGGAATGAGTTGTGTGCTTAATCGAGAAATAAGGCTAATGTCAGAAATAAAGATCAAGAGACATGAATCATGCATATCTTAACCCACAGACACAATTACTACAAGAAACAAGTAGAGCCATGATCGAAGTAAGAGTTAGGCTTGATTGTGTAAATTCATTTTATGCTCAGTCGATTGTATATTATTATCCGTTCCAAGTTATTTTATACAATTATCTTAACATCACCAGTTCGAATCCTTTCAGGGCTACTGAGGTTAGTATCCGGTCGTAAACTTCAGGACCTCGTGAAATTAGTTGAGGTGCGCGCAAGCTAGTCCGGACATCTACGATTATCAAAAAAAATAAAAAATTGCTCTTATTTATTTATTCATAATTTGAAAAGTTGATAGACATTTTTCAAACATGTTATAATAAAAACAATGATCAAAAGATAGCCATTCCTCCTACCAATCACCTTTCTCCTGTGGTATTAAATTAAAACAAGTTCTGAAGAAATCAAATGTAAGAAAGCAGTTTCATGAATTAATCAATTTTTATTTGTTTATGCATAGTTACTGTACAATCTATTAACAAAAAAATGAAACTTCGAAAAATGAAAATGAAAATTTTACTTCGTCAAATAAGTGACGTCATGGTAACTAGTTACTAGTTCACACCTGTCTTTTCTTCTTCCCATTACTTTTCACACGTTTCATTGTGATAATTTCAAGAAAAATTGCACCTCTGATCCCAATTTTAAAAAAAGACCAAGTTGGTCTCCAATACTTCATTATTATTGCACCGTCAATATCATGCAATCCTCTTAAAAACATGTTTCATTTTAAGTTTTTGGACACGAGGATAAGTTTAAAAGCAAAATCTAATATCATAAAGTTGAACATACGAGAGTTACTTAACGATTTAAGATGCCAACCAGATTGGCCAACACATGGGTTTGTTCGACTAATTAGAAATATTAGAACCTATCTAAAAAAGATGTATTTAAAATTTTTTTGTCGTTGAGAACTAATTATATGTTTGGTCCCCGGTTGGAAGCTAACTTCTTTTTTAAAGTTGGAATTAACTTGAGAGTAAAGTAATAGGTTGGTATTGCTCCTTTATTTTCTTTTTACCAATTGCTCAATTTTCTTCATTTTGACGTTAACAAAAGAAGAAGTCAAGGGCAAAATTATGACCTTGAACTGTGTCAACCATCAAACACCAATCACCGTTACAGTATCAAGTCATCATCAATTGATCCTGTTGTTTCAGTCCAAAGATCCCCATCCAAATATCTCTATCTCGGAGTTCAGTCGTTGTGGTGAGGAAGTCCCAGGTTGTAGGAAATTGCAATTATCTAAATCTTGAATTCCGGGTAAACTACAAATCTTGCTTTTCTGCTTTGTCGTTGACCAGACACTACTCTCTCATTACTTGATTTTTGAACTTTCTGACATGGGTTTTTTGAATTTGATGTGGGTTTTCTGAAAGATAACACATGAATGAAGGGCATGGTTCTTGAGTTCTAATATTTAGTGGAGGATGTTCTGCTATTGATAAAATATTATACCGTTGCTAGTTGTTTGCCTTGTTAATTAAAGGAGTTGTCTACTTGTTTTTGCAAATATTTATTGCTTAGATTCGTGAATTGCTGAAATTGGTTGGTAGCTATTTGATTAGTTCTTATTTGGCAGGAGCCGAATTCAATCTGTGGATATTGAGATTGGTCTTTGCCTTTTTTTCTTATGGGTTCAATTCAAAATATTGTATATTATTGCTGTGTATTGAAGGGGGGTCGAGTTTTGTACGCCTATAATGGTGCTGACCATGAAATTGAGAACTTGGCTGCATTGTGCTTAGAGATGACTCCTTCCTATCACAGATGGTATTTTCAGACCATGAATAAAAAAACTTTTGGGTTCCTGATGGAGGATGGCTATGTGTATTTTGCTATAGTGAATGAGAATCTTGGCAACCCGAGAGTTCTTCAGTTTCTAGAAAATTTGGTGGATGAATTTAGGAAGGTGGCCAAAAGAGGTTCGAACAGGAGTATTTCTAATTTGAATTCTGTGTGTTTACAAGAACAATTGGTACCGGCTATACAACAGATGGTTGCCTCATTGGAGCAACTCTCAGTTACAGGTTCTGAGTGGCCGGCTCAGACTACTGAGCTCGCTCCTTCGCCAAGTAACATTGCCAATGGTCAGATAGAGACCCGTGCTTCTACAAAAGCCCCTTTATTGGGAAAGCTGAGCAAGCAAGACAAAAAGCAAATGAACGAACATGTAATTGCTATGAGACATATTGAATTGGAGGAACATCGGATATCTACAGATAGAGTGAAGGTTGATTCAGGACCTATAGATTCTAACGACCAAGGTTCAACAGTTTCTCCAGTCTCACGGCATAAGGATATTGGATCAATGAGGAGAAGGTCTAGCTTTCAAAACTTGCAAAAAAAATGGTGTCGCCATGTGCGGATTGTTCTTGCCATCGACGCTTTAGTGTGTCTTGTGTTATTTGTAGTTTGGTTAGGCATATGTGGTGGTTTGAAGTGCATTCATTAAGAATTCCCTTTTGTTTGTCTCTGACTTTGAGCTTTATCACCTCTTGAACGGAAGCAGCCATAGTTTCCAATTCAAGAATACAAGGTTTTGTTTGTTAAAATTCAAAATCTCCCCGTCTAAACAGCTGGACATATTGTGACGAATCAAGTGCTTTATGGGTATCTAAAAGGTATAAGCTTCAAATTTGAGGTTGTGGCATCATAATTAGACTCTTTTACAGTTACTATGTTTTTTTACTATGCATACATGGACGTGGTTTCAATTAAGAATTCGGAGGGGGCGACGAATGGCTGTACACATTGCATGCTGTACTTACATGTTGATTTTCTTGGTCATTGTGTCTTGACATTTATTAGCAATCCATGGATCAACAATCTTGCAACATGTCAGCTTGTGCAGTATTTATGCAATTTGAATAGTAATATATCTCTTCTCTAGTATGTTTTGCTGAGATAAAATACCATGCCTTGTCGCTTCCCTTGCAGGGATGATGGGGTTGGGGGCCACCCGGTTTATAGTTTGTTGTTTAATAATCGAAAACTTGTAGGATTTGATGAGATGTGGTTTTGGCAAAAAATTGTAATGTAGATCAATAGCTGAATTAGTTAAGTAGCATCAGGGATGAGTGGAAAATGGAGCAATCAACCATTTCAAACCAACAGGCCTAAGTTGAATGTATTTTTTTTTTTTTTGTACTGTAGCTGTATAAGACAGAAGATTGGTTTACTACGAGCTCTGTTGAGGGCGTAATTATATGGGGCTGGACATGATCAATTTGGTTCTACTAGAATTTTCATGTATTTAATAAGTGAAACCGTCAAATCTAAATTTAATTATGGAGTCAGTTTGATTCCATTTGGTTTTGTAGTATAATTAATTTTTTTAACATTTACATTTTTTTTTTTGTACTGTAGCTGTATAAGACAGAAGATTGGTTTACTACGAGCTCTGTTGAGGGCGTAATTATATGGGGCTGGACATGATCAATTTGGTTCTACTAGAATTTTCAGGTATTTAATAAGTGAAACCGTCAAATCTAAATTTAATTATGGAGTCAGTTTGATTCCATTCGGTTTTGTAGTATAATTAATTTTTTTAATATTTACAACAACACTACATTGATCCAATTAATAACATGTTCAATATGAAAGACATTAAAAGAAACGTGAAAATACTCAATAAAAAAGGGTGAAAATAAAGAACACGATAAGGAAGATAGCTACAGAAAGTAAGGAAAACACGTAAATGTACGTACTCTCAACAAACATTTTGAACGTTATAAGTTATAATGTTTATATATTGAGCATGAGAAATTATTAGAAATGAAAAAATTGAATCTTAAATTGATCAAAGTGAAATAAATTTAATAAATATGATAGAAAATAGGGTAAGATGAAGAGATGCATAATCGTCCAACTCCGATTATTTGAGAAACTGCAGAATGATAGAAAAAGTTTAGGTCACTAAATTCTTATTGTTTGAAATTTAAATTACGAAGTTAGACTTTGAAATAGGAAAAATGATATTTTGAACTCAATTATTAATTGATAAATGAAACAAAAAATAAAAAAAATTATTGGACTCGATTAATTAGTTGACAAATTTATGTTAAAAAATTGACTTATTTAATAAAAAATTAAAGAGATGCAATTATTATTCAATTTTTCCAATTCTTAGTCTAAAATCGAGAAACGAACTAAACTCGTCAATTCTCAATTTTGATACCCATTCGGGTATTTAAATTAAGGACCGCTCAATTCAATTCGATTCGGTTCGAGTCTAGTTAAGGAGTTCTATCCAACCCTATAATTATATATGTTATACCTCAATTTACTTCGCGTAGAAAACAGCCTTCAAGCATGCATTGTGTAGCCAAAACCCATAAAAAACTGCTATATGCATGCACGAACACACGGTGCCCAACTCCATTCTTAATTAACAGAAAACAAGGTAATGGAAAGACAACCATGGGAATCATCCTCCGTTCAATGATACATCAAGCATTTTGGACACAAGTTTGTGAGCATTTTCAAAATCAAGGGTCTATTGCGCTTTTTACTGCCAGAACATCAAGGTCATTAATTAGTTAAAGAAACAGAATGGTTATCTTCCTCGAGATTACCGAAACATACAAAACTTCATCTATCCCACTCAGTCGCCATAAATTCCGAAGCAAGCCTTGGTGGATTCTCATCTATGCTTTTGGGAGGCTGATTGGTATACCGGTCCCATCCCATGATGTGAGGCAATGCAAACTGCAGCAATAGCAATGAGAAAATTGATGCATAAACCGAAAATGAGATGGCCAGAAGGAAAACAAATTTGATTGAAAAGAAAACCTTGCACATTCGTTACATCAATCAAGCAAAATCAAAGGTACAATTAGATATGGCATTGACATGCTTATTGTCATGTCCACCCACTCAAAGCATCTATCAGCCTGTCATAATTTGAATCTTGGAAAAATAAAATATTCAGTATTTTCAAATTCTCATTGTCAATCACAACATGGATGGCACCTTTTGGGCAGGTTATTTTCCTTTAGATAGAGAAAAATTGATAGTCACCAGAGTCCTATCTAATTGAGTTCTTGGATTGCCAGAAATTTATCGATAGGTTTCTCTAGTCCACTCGGAAACAATTCTAAATAATGCATGGCACTTTCTGGGCCTGTTATTGTACTCAAACCTTATCTTTTGGAATATTTTGTTCTCCTGTCACTGAAGAAAAGACTCAATACATTTCATGGAGGACAACCTAAACAATTCTATAGTCAAACCTAATCCATAGTCTAGTAAAAATATGTTTTTGCTCAAAGCACAAATGTACCCCAAGTATTCTCTTTCTCAGACTACCAAATTATTGTAACCATCAAGAAACGCAAAGAAATTGTGTTAGCATTTCATCCTCAACCTTGAGATATTCACAAACAGTACTAGTTTCAAGAAGTGCTCCACTAGCAGAATAAATACAGAAAGACAGAAACATAAAAGATACAGTGCCATACGTTGAAAGCTGTTCGCATGACTGCAAATTCAGCAGTAGTGACAGGAACAACAAACCGATCATTAGTTTTGAGGATATTGTTGATAACATCTGCAAATAGAATATGCATAAGATAGCAAGAAATCATCAGGTGCTGCATAAGATACTTACCAAATTCCAGGATGCCTAGAGAACACAGGTTAAGATCACTTAAAACTCAAAATTTCTGCATGGTATTTGTATTTATAGCTGCATAATAACATTCTGCTATTTCATGCATATGGATAATAACATCCACTTGATACTTGATATTCATCATTGATGGACATGATTATTCAATTAAACATCTTCATCAAGAAAGCCAAATATTAGTGCATGACAAAAATAAAAGACTTACTCAGAGAAACGAAGTAGCCTCCACCATTGTCATGTGCCTTAATTGATAAGCTCTTTCTAACTTGACCTGCATTACTGTAAAATAGAACTTGGTTAAAGCCACGAACTGAAATCAATCTTAGTATAAAAATCAAAATAAATATAAAGAAAGATTGAAATATTGCGAACAGCAGATAAAGGAAAAAGTTTTAGGATTAGAAAATCAACCTAGACAGCATTGATGGGTCGTGGAAGAATTCACAGGAATCTTTTGGTCCCAAACTAATTAGGGATCCAACCTCCGTGGCCGACAAAGCAAAAGTCTATAATATATTAGTATAACAGTCAGTCAAACCACAGAATGTGTGTGAAAGCACGCACGCAAGCATGCCTTATTTTGCATTTCAATGAGAGAGAATTTTGATCTTTAGCAAGTACATTTTCAAGACAACTGCTGAGAGTTGACAATGAGAGACTTATGCAAAAGTCACAAATGTCCTCGGTATCGACACATCCTTCCAGGAAACTCCAAGTAAGAGTGAAGTGTTTTCACTCTTCAAAGAAGCATTCAGGAACAATAATTATAAACTTTTATGCTAAGGAAAGACTAGACATTTAGCCAAGAAGACAAGCTGATTACCTGTCTCTTATCCCAATCATACTTGCGCTCACCAATAGCAGGCCAGAAAGTCAAAAAAATGACACCGCGGCGATCAACCCTGAAACCTCCAGACTAGAGAAAATGAAGAAAGCATATAATCAGCAATCAAATCTGTATAACTAAAGATATTTTTGGGGAGAAAAGATTTCAGAAACGGTATTGAACATCGTACTTCCAATTTACTAAATGTTGGAAGAATAGGGGAGGCAGAAAGTGCAGCTTTCCCCTTGTAAATTGAATAGGGTGCAAATATTTTAGCAGCAGATCTCCCTGAATGCACCAGAGCAAAGCAAAATGATTAGTGATGAGTTCACCTCCTTGGGAAGAAGAGAAAACGAAGAATCCTATGCCAAAATACTTTGATACCATCAGGCAAAAAATTTTGTCTAGCAGTTGACAGGCTAGCCTGGGTACTCATACCACGCAACCATTGATAATCATTCACAGCTTCCACAAATAACCTCTTCTGGGACAATTGATTCCTATTTTCAGTCAACAAAAACTGACATCAGTACAAATTAATTCAATGAAGCTGTGAAGATTAAACAAACACGAAATACACTTTACTGAACTATAGAATTATTCAACGATTCCAGTTTGCTTTTTGACAAACTGAAAATGTTATAAAACAGCATAATACCAACTGATAAGATAGGAACTTGTGTAAATGCTGGAGGGTAGCTAGGACTAGGGGCTTGATGGGGCAGGCAATTTTATTTAACCTTTTAAGATCAATTCAGATAGCTGCAAGTAGAATTCACGAGAAACTTCACGAGGAAAATGAATTGTCTCTTCAACCCCTCTGATTTTATGCTGTATTTGTGTCTTTTCAAAATCAGACAGTCTACATAAGGTAGCCTCTAATGGACCATAATAAGCAAGATTCTAAGATGCTAAGCTAGTTCTTCAATTCTCTTGATGGGTATTGTTTAATAGTGACCCAATTCCAAACACTTCATCCATGTTGAAGATGTGTTGTTTCAAGTTTCCACACACGACCTTCCTTTTATAAACATTTTTACAATGTTGAAAGTGCGGAATATGGTTCAAATAAGATTACTATACGAATCAACTATTTCTCCATAATTTACCTCTCTTTTACCTTTTATACATATACCATAAATTTAACTTAAAGATTCAAATACTTTCCCCTTTTTAACAATTGTGGCTTATCCTTTTGCATTTAGGCTTTAGCAAATCAACTCCCTTTCTTTCAAAGTACAATAATTGTGGCTTGCAACCACATTTCTCCATTTTTTTCCTATTTAAGTGATAACATGAATTCCAACTCAATTATGAGTGGATTCTAAAGTTGATTTTAGTATATCTATCAAATTTCTAGATCAGTCGACTCTTCAGGCCCATCTCAAAAGAACATTGTATGACAGGTGACCAGAAGAGTCTGTGACAACGGTCTAAAAGAAAGACTGACCCAAGAAAGTCGGGCACCCAAAAGCCTGACCAAGTGGAGCAATGTTGTACTAGGTGAGCTCAGTAACCAAAAGGTAACCTGACCCAGCACCAGGGGCGGACCCAGCACCAGGGCGGACCCAGCGGCCACCCGTGTTGGATCCGTCGGGAGCTTCAAGTCTCCGCCGTGAGTCGACGCCATCCGTCGGGAAGAATGAAGAAGGCAGCCGGGTTGCAACAGGTTTTTTTCCTTTGTTTTGTTTCATTTTTGGAGGCGGCCAGGCTGGCCTTTTTCTACATAATAAGGCCAATGAATTGGGCCAAATTTCAACCCATTAGCCACATAAACAAAACCCAAATGACCGAGCTTGAAATCGGCAATTGTGAAATCCCAATTCCAAAATTGAACCCAAAATGTAGAAGGAGGAGACAGCCTGCGAGGCGATTGGCTGCGCAGCGGAGTGTACCAAGCGGAGTCCCTGCTACTGCTGCTGTGCGTCCACTGTCCGTCACTGGCCGTCTGCCGAGTCCCTGCTGCTGGGCCACTGGCTGCTGGCCTGCTGCTGGAGGTCTCCACCACTGCTCGACAGTCGCTGGTGACGGTGAGTTTGCTTCTCCAGCTCTTCTCTTTGGTTTATTTGTTTGATTTATTAGTTATGTTTTACAAATTATGGAGCCGGGAATATGAATTTGTTTGTGAATTGTGACTTTATGACTTGTGAGGCTGTAGGCTGTAGTGTTTACTGGCTAGTGGCTACTGCATTTGATTTTGAATTTTGTGAATTTGAAGCTTGGGCATTTTGTTTATTCGAGAATCTAAGAATATTGGGGATTTTGTTGTTGAATCCTGAACGTTAATTGTTAAGGTTTATGATTTATGAAAATTGGAAATTTGTGAGTTATGACCTATGAGTTATAATTTTGATTTGTGAATTGTGATTTGGGAATTTAGGAAATTAGGGATAAGTGAAAAAAATTTAAGATCACAGTTACAGAGTAGGTTGTATTGCGTATTTCTTTAGTATTTTTGGTTGTATTGAATTACGTTTTCATATATATATATAATTTTTACNTTTAGTGCATTTACATATATATTATGTAATTTTTAATATTATTTAATTAAATATTAATAAACGTTCTTACCATCGCTGATTGTCGATGTTGATCGGTCAACGTCCGCCCGAGCTGAGCCTCAAGGTTGGGTCCGCCCGAGCCCAGCACTAACCAAGAACTGCTCAACTTCCCAACCTCACTTTGCATTACAACCTACCCACTGACAACCAAAATCTCCAATTCGCATCCCTATTCTTACAACCACTTCAACTTAAACGACCCACACATTTTTGCATCCTTCAATCGGAAATAAATTTTAACCTCAAAGAGAACCTTGGTTCTGTTATCGTATACCCAGAAAAAACTTGGAAACTAGACCGTCAACACAAGGCTCTTCAACAACCAAGTTAAAAAATTAGGCAAAAACATAATTGCAGAAATACCCTAATCTTCTTTTCCAACTTTTTTTTTTTTAATTCAAATTATACAGTCTTATTCTTTGTTTCCAAGAAACAATGAAACCCCAGCCAAAAAAAAAAAAAAAACAATTAACAGAAGGCAAAGAAGAGCTTAAGAAGTATACCTAGAGTGAGAAAGCAGCTTCGATAGCTTCAACATGGAGCAACAACGACAGAATTCCTTCAGGTCGTAGACTCAGTACTCGCACACACTCCACTATAATCTCTGGAATTTTCTTTCCGAATACAGGAAAAGTGAAGTCTCCTCATTATTAGGCATTTGTTTTTTGGGTCCGAGCGCGGTTCCATTTTTGTTTATTTGTGTCTGGTTTGCGTGGAAGGAAAATAAATTAGGGGGAAAGTAATTGTTTAGAAATTGTTTTGTATAGAATTGTTAATTTAGTGTGTTTGATTGGTATAATTTTTTACCCGAAAATTTTTTAAATTTTGTGTTAGTTTGACTTTGTTTTATATTAAAATTGTCCATTAAAGTGATAATTTTTCCACAACTGGTTATAAAATTTGTTTCCATTGTCAAAAAGTAAAAAAAAAAAAACTAAATTTTTTTCCTGAAAAAATCATTTTTTAATCAAAATTTTAGTGTTCGTTAAGCTTTATTTTATATGAAAATTGTCCATTAAAATGAAATTTTATAACAACTAATTATAAAATTTGTTTTCATTGTAAAAATAAAAAAGGAAGCACCACCTAAAAAAGCTTTTCCGACCAATTTTGAGGAAAATAGGGGTGGTGGGGGTGGGAGTTTTCCCTAAAAAATTGTGGCAATCAAACAAGCCAAAATCAAGAAAATGGAATTCTTTTTCCAAATTTTAGAGAAAATAACACCTATCGTGACCTTAATTTCTATTTCTTTTTAGCACTTTTTATTCTTTTAATTTCTTTTCAAAAAAAAGAAATCTTTTTAAATTTTGGAAAAATGGTTTCTTTAAAAAAATTGAAATTCGAAGAAAGAAAATACGTTTTCAAATATTATTTTATTCGATAGAATTTGATATACAAAATCTAATACGTGGCTGTTGATTACCCTCTTTCTATTTTTCTAGTTTTCCTTAATTAGAATCGATAATGTATTTTACTACATTCACTTTTTAGTGAATGACAGTCAACCTTTTTATTTTTGTCCAATACTCAACCAAGTTCAAGTAATAGAAAATGTTACTTTATTCCTTGTACGAAAAAAAAAAAATTAAAATCTTATTGGAATAGAAGAAAATAAAAGAAAAGAAAATAATGCCTTCTATACCTCAAAAGTTAATTTTTATTCTCTTTAACAAACACTTTCCGAAGTATTATATAAAAAGATAAATTGAGATGGGCCCTCGAACCTATGATATTAGGCTTGGGCGTAAATCGGGTTAGGTTAGTTTTGAGTTCAACTCGAAATCGAAATTTTTAACCCGAACCAATACAATTTAGTTGCTGAAATCAAACTAGACCAAACCCGTTTGGGTCGATTTTGACATTAGTTTGAGTTTTAAAAAAAATTAAAAAAATTGCATACTTATTTCGGATTAAAAAATTTGTTTATATATACACTTGTGTAGTGTGTTTCAATAATATATATATATTATAAATGATAAATGGTCGATTTTCCAAAATCATTCTATATATCCACTTGTTGTGTTAATTATACTGAGAATCTCTGATACCAATTGTTGGGAATTCAATGATGACGTATTGCTCGATACCACTTGATATGAAATCAACCGTCGGATTGAGATGTTGAAGTTATATGACACAATAATGAAGTATTTGATCACGAGTAAAAGAATAAAAGAAGACAAGAAAATATGACAGGTAAATTAGAAGATTTTATTGTATCACAAATAATGAAAATGAAGAAATATTATAATAATCCTAAAAACTAGTAATCACTTTTCTCACTCTATTCTCACATCATAAAACTGTAGAGAATAGCAAAATATATATATTTGCAACTATGTAGAGACATCCAAACCCTAATAAAATGAGTTGTAGTTGAAATAGAATGTCAAAAAATGTGTTAGAATGCGAAAAGGGCATGAGGCGGTTAAGTCTGTCGCTCGAGCGATAAGCTAGCGACACGTCTGTCGCTATTGGCGGGCGACAGACGAGCGATCAAGTCTCGGGAGAAAATCTGCAAGTGTTTCTCGAGCGGGTAGCTAGCGAAAATGCGGCAACTTTTCTTTTCGGTCCATAATTTCAACATCTTCAAGTAAAATACAAATTACAATTCCCAATAGGGCTTCTTAGTGGTGTGGCTCGGCTCGGCCCATTGTCTCACGAGCTCGTGGCTCGTTGGTAACGAGCTGAGCTTGAGCTCGGCTCGTTACCATTTGGGCGAGCTTGGCTCGTGCCCGAGCTCGCCCAAAGCGAGCGGCTCGCCGGCTCGCATAATTTTT